CAGTTAAAGCGGTCTCAAACCGGATTATTTCTGCAATGTGTTTTGGACCTAAGACTCTTTTAATTTTGTGCATTGTTTCTACCATGCATTTTATTACTGTCATGCACTGCTTTGAAATCTTCAGATCTAATATTTATAAACACTGGAAAATAAGTTGTAAAAAAACAAATTTACAAAGAGTCTCGGAGACAGTAGCAATCGCTGAAGGCTAATATTAGGAATCTGTATACCATAGAAGTTGTTTGTGGTGCTGTTGTGTGTTTATAATACAACACTGTCCAGGTCTTAATACTTGTGCTTGTGCATATATTTGTGGAAAGAGCGGATTGAATATTCGCATTTGAATAAATGAGTTTTGGTAATAATTAAATAGTGTTGAAAGAGTGGATCATCAATAAGCCATTGGAAAGCCATTGGAAAGCGAAGGAATCCTATATATGCCTATCTGAGGATTTTGATCTGTGTCCTGTATCTCTGTTTTTGAACTGTTTTAACACATTGAATTGTTTCATGTGTTTTTATCCTGTTTAAATTATTCATTGGTTTTATTTTGGAATTGTCTAAAAGGTTTTATCTGCTTTCCTTGCAATAAAAAGGGTGTGATTAAAAAATATTGAAACAAATACCCAAACAATTAAAGAAATAAAATACTTGCTAGCCAGCACAAACTGATAACAAAACAAAACAAAACAGCCAGTGATTCACTTTCCTCCCCAAGGCAAAATAAAAAGGGAAAGTTTTTAAGACAAGAACACATTTATCTATTTGTCTCCCACTCAAGAGTGTTTTAACGCCAAGTCAATAGAGTTACACAATACTCTTGACACTGGAAGGGGAAGGTTGCAGATGAACACTTCTGCAGGCATTTGCTATTCCCCCTGGAACCGCTGTTGTCTGTATGCAACTGTAGCTGTTGTTATTGCACATGCCAATGACTAATTTCTTAACAACACACTCCCAGGTTTGCTACAAAACTGGGAAGCAAATGTCCCTGACCACAACAACAACAACAAAGAGACCAAGGGTCAGAAAATTCTTGGACCAAAGAGTTTGCATAGGGGTTGCATTGCAAAGAACTCCCTCTGCAAAGTTACGCGTTTAGGCTGAGCTTCTACATAGGGATAGAAATAATACTAGAAAATATTCAGAACATTGTCAAAAGACACATTTTCCAAATGTTGATAAACCTTGACAAAAAGACTCCAGGATCAATACCAGTTTGGAACTAATTCTGTGCAAAGTTTGCACTTAGTTCTTTTGCATAGGAAACACTAGTGTCTTGTGCAGGGAATGATATTCCTACATGGAAATATTATTTCCTGCACAGAAAAATAATACTATTTTTTGTGCAGGAAATACTGTAATACGGTACTGATTTTGCACAAAATTCACACACCGGTGATATATGTAGAAAACAGCTTTTCTGTGCAAAAAAAAAAAAAGCCCAAATTTTTCCATTTCTGCACAGAAATATCATTTCCTGCATAGAAAATGCTCTCTTTTTTTTTCCCCTGTGCAGGAAATGCTGCTTTCTGCACAACACAACCATGTGCAAATTTTGTGTGGAATTAGTCCCGAGTTGCGAATAGACTTCAAAAACTGCTTAGTATTGGAAGAGTTTTGTCCAGAGGGAAGACAATTGCTACAATTACTCATTGCCTCCTTTGAGAAGAAACTTAGTGAAAAGTTGCATCCTTACATCTGTGCATAGCTCTGCACAAGAAGGTGTACCTCTTCCCATTGCTTGGCCACATGCATGTCTCAAAAGGGATCCCTGTTGTTGTTGCTGTTGTTGTTGTATACTATTGGGAAAGGGAAGGAGTGAGGAATCTGATTCAGACCACAGAGAAGCAGCTGGTCTCAGATCATTTGGGGGAGAAGAAATGAAGGTGCATTCTCAAATGAAGTGCATCCACTTTTCCTTCCCCTAGGAGCCCAGAGCAGCTGGATTTTCTGTGCATAAAATGCAGTTTCAAAAACATGTGATTATTTTCATGTAAAATAAGATGATGTCTGCATGAAGAAAAAGAAACGTTCCTGCCCCGTTTCTGCAGTGACCAATTTAGATGATGCACAGGTCCAGGGCCAGCATGGCATGGCATGGTGGTTTCAAAGTTGGTCTATGACTCTGCAGACCAGGGTTTGAATCTTGGCTCAGCCATGTAAACCCACTGGGTGACCTTGGGCAAGTCATACTCTCTCAGCCTCAAAGGACAGGAATGGCAAATCCCCTCTTAAGAAACTTGCCAAGAAAACCCTACGATAGGTTTGCCTTT